ATTGATTTTAAATCTTACTTCTTTTCTAATATATATGCATTTAATGTTATAATTTTCCCTCTAAGCACTGCTTTTGCCCCATCCCACACATTAAGTTATATTTTATTTCTATTTAGTTTATTTTGTAATTTCCATTGAGATTTCTTTGAACTATGGGTTATTTAGAAGTGTGTTCTTAAACTTCCAAATATTTGGGGAGATTTTCCAGCTATCTTTCTGTTACTGATTTCTAGCTTAATTCCACTCTGGTCTGAGAACATACTTTGTATGATTGTTATTCTTTTAAATTTGTTAGGATATATTTTATGGCCCAGAATCTGGTCTATCTTGGTGAAATGTCTCTTGTGAGCTAGAGAAGAATGTGTAGTCTGCTGTTGTCAGATGGATTTTCTACTAATGTTAATTAGATCAAGTTGACTGATGGTGCTCTTCTGGTCATCAATATCTTTACTGATTTTCTGTCTGCTTCATCTATCAGTTACTGACAGAGGGGTGTTGAAATCCCCATATAATCATGGATTTGTGAGTTTCTCCTTTCAGTTCCTTGTCTTTGGTTTTCTGAAGTTGGCATATTCCATGCCCAAGTGGTTTTTGTTTTTGTTTTTGAGTAGTTATCCTGCTTAGTGTCCTCTAAACTTCCTGGATTTGTGATTTTATGTCTGTCATTAATTTTGGATTGCATTAGCCATTCTTTCAATATTTCTTTTGCTCCATTCTTTTTCTTCCGGTATTCTAATTACACATATGTTATACGTTTTGCAATTGTCCCTCAGTTCTTTGGGGTTCTAATGTTTTCATTTTTTTCCTCTTTACGTTTCAGGTTAGAAGTTTCTGTTGACTCATCTTTAAGCCACTAATAGTTTCCTTGGTCATGTCAAGTCTATTGATAAACCTATAAGAAGCATTCTTCACTTCTGTTACAGTGTTTTTATTGATAGTCTTTCCTTTTGATACATTTCTAGAGTTTCCATCTCTTTGCTTAAATTACCCATCAGTTTTTTCAGGTTGTCTACTTTTTCCATTAGAGCCTATGACACTTATAACCTAGTCATTTTAATTTTTTTAATGTTTATTTAATTTTGAGAGAGGGAGACACAGAGCATGTGTGGGGGAGGGGCAGAGAGAGAGAGAGAGACAGAGAGAGAGGGAGACACACTATGAAATAGGCTCCAGGCTCTGAGCTGTCAGCCTGACATGGAGCTCAAACTCACGAACCATGAGATCATGACCTGAGCTGAAGTTAGACGCTTAACCAACTAAGCCACCCAGGCTCCCCCAACCTAGTTATTTTAAAATTCTGTCTGATAATTCCAGCATCTGTGTTATAATGGAGTCTGGTTCTGATGATGATTGCTTTGTTTCTTCGGGCTGGTTTTTTTTTTTTTTTTTTTTTTTTGGCATTCCTATAATTTTTTGGTTGAGATCTAGACATGTTGTGTCAGGTAATAGGAAGTAAGATACATAGACCTTTAGAGTGATGCTTTATGTTGATCTGGCAAGGAATTGGGATATGTTTAACATTTGCTATAGCTATAAGTGCCAGAGGCTTCAAATTCCTGTAGTGTCCCTGTTTTTGTCTCCTCTACTGACTTGGGGTTCCCTAAGTACTCCTCCTCAGAGAGAGTTTATGCCTTGAAGATCTTTCAGCCCTGATCCAACATTATTATCTTGGAGTCTTATTAGTGTGGTGTTAGGACATGGGTGAGGGACAGTTTTCTATAATTTCCCACTTAAGTCCTCATCTTTTAGGGGCTCTATATCTTGTGGCTGTCACCTTCTCAAGTTGCATAGCCTTCCCTTTCCCCTCATACCCCTCCCCTTTTTCTTGGCTGCAGAGTTTCCTATCAATTTCCTTGAGGCTCTGACTGCTGTTGACTGTTTCTCCCCTACGCCCAACTCCACAGTTGAGGCAGAAAGGCTAAAATGGGGTAAAATGGGGGAAACTGTCTTCACCTAGATAGGAAAAAGGGCTTTGTTATGAAGAAGGCTCTGGCATATTTTACGATTACTCTTCCCTTTCCCCTACCAGAGACATGAGGAGTGGTCCTTCTCAGTTCTTCCCTGCAAGAATCTCTAGGGTTCCTGGAGGTAAAGCTCATGAAAGTACGACCCCCAGAAGACTGAAACCCCAAGTTCCTCCCTCTCACACTAGCCCTCACTCAGCTTAAAGCAATTAATCAGAATTTTCACTTAACTGATCCTACAATTTATAGCACTGGTGCATTTTGCTCCCGGTGAGCACATCTGGCTGTGATTCTTTGGATACACCGGACTCTCCAGATTCCGGGGGTGGGGGGTAGTTTGCCCTGCAACCTCAGTTCTCTGGTAGGTCCAAGAAAATTGTGGATTTTCACTTTATTCGATTTCTTCTTACTATAAGGATAGGGGTGAAAATTCCCAAGCACGTTATATGTTGGGGCTGAAACCAATCTCTCCACACATATTTTACAGAATTCTCTCTATCCCTACTCAGAGTCCATGAGTCCTGGCAATCTGTTTTGCCAGCAACTACACCTCTCCTGGTCTTCTCTGGGTTATAAACTCTTGTTGCTGTCAATTTCCCCTCATTGTTTCCTGCTCAGCGGCAAGTGTTATATAACCATGGGACCGAGTGGAGCCAGTGCTCCCTGAGACTGTTTACTGCATCTCAGTGGGTAAAGGAGGCAGACTGTGAAGGCTGGTATAGTTAGTTTGCTGGTAAAGTTAAGGATGCTCCTCTGAAATCTGATGAGAAGTACAACCCCTGTTTCCCCATATCATGAAGAAGAGAGAAATGCGGTGTAACGGATGACCCACAGACTCTTAGGCATATGCTCTCGTGTCATTACGCTTGTCAGTCAAGTGAACTGCGTGATGGTGTTGTGACAGGCTTGACAAAGAAGGAATTCACATAGAGTTGAGGTGAGTAATACTTATGTAACTTAAAAAACAATGATCTTGCCATCGGCCTTCTTAGTTGTATCTGCTCCCCTTTATCTTCCTATATAGTACTTTCACAGCACTTTTGTTTTTCCTTAACCATAGACAGGGTCATCCTATGCAGATGTGGATTCCCCTTTGTCTTACAACATTTGAAATTACAGATCAGAGATTGTTCACTTTAACCCTGATTGAGAAGGAGATGTGTATAAGCTTTACATTCCTCTTAGATACAGACATGGACGATGAAGGAGAAACCTATCGATCTGGGTGGTATTTTTGGTGCCAAGGTGGCTGGAGCACCCAGATCAATCTGAATAATTTTGTTCATGGATGGGTACTATGTATTACAAGATACTGAGAGGGAGAAACAAATAATTGGCTCCCTGATGGCCCTTCCAAGGGCAAATACTTCCAAACTGAGGGCAAAGGAAATTCTTCCACCTTTTCAGATAATGCCTCCTCCCCACGCCCTCTAGTATGGAACATGGTCTGTTATGATGATCAGTTGGTTGGTAAACTAGGAGGGGAGGGTGAAAAATATTGTGACATGAAGGAGATTCAAGCAGTATTCACCTTTGGGGAAGTTTTCTCCTTTAAGATGGGTTTCAGTTATTTCACAGTACTTTCCATGATGGTGAAGGCTATCAGGCCCTTAAGTTTTCTAAAACATTTTGAATCATCTGGTCTCTGCCTTTCCCAGGCTTCATAGAGACTCCAGAGAAGATTTTAAGAAGGTAAGGACAGCAGATGAAAATGAAAGAGATTGGGGAGGAAGTCAGGGAAGGGAGAACATGAACATAAATGAGAAGTTAGGAGAGGCCCTGAGAATGGATGGGGATGAGTGGAGAAGGCCTGAGAGAGGGCTGGGTGACAACAATAAGGGACAATTCCTGCGGTTGGAAGGGGACAGGAAGTGAGAAAATGAAAGAGGCGGTGGGGATTCGAAGTGATGAGGTTCTGTGAAAAATTAAAAATAGAACTACCCTACAACCCAGCAATTGCACTACTAAGTATTTATTTATTTATTAAAAAAATTTTTTTTGATGCTTATTTATTTTTGAGAGAGATAGAGACAGAATGCGAGTAGGTTGGGGCAGAGAGAGAGGGAGGCACAGAATCTGAAGCAGGCTGCAGGCTCTGAGCTTTCAGCATAGAGCCTGACGCAGGGCTTGAACTCACGAGCTGTGAGATCACAACCTGAGCTGAAGTTGGATGCTCAACCGACTGAGCCACCCAGGCGCCCTAGTCAGTAATTATTTAAAGGATACATGAGTGCTGATTCGAAGGGGCATATGCACCCCAACATTTATAGCAGCACTATCAACAATAGCCAAATTATGGAAAGAGCCCAAATGTCCATCAACTAATGAATAAAGAAAATGTGGTACACACACACACACACACACACACACACACACACACACAGGAATATTACTTGGCGATGAAAAAGAATAAAACCTTGCCATTTGTAACATGGATGTGTATTATGCTAACTAGAGTGTAGCATACTAAGTGAAGTCAGTCAGAGACAGACAAATATCAAATGATTTTACTCATATGTGAAATTTAAGAAACAAAACAGATGAACATAGGGAAAGGGCAGAAAAAATAATATAAAAACAGAGAGGAAGCAAACCATAAGACTCTTAAATACAGAGCACAAACTGAGGGTGGCTGGAGGGGTGTTGGGTGGGGGGATGAACCAAATGGGTGATGGGCAATAAGAAGGGTACTTGTTGGGATGAGCACTGGGTGTTATACATGAGTGATGAATCACTAAATTCTATTCCTGAAATCATTATTACACCATATGTGCACTAACTTGGATTCAAATAAAAAAAAAAGAACATGAAGAAAAAAAGAAAGTGATCAGTGAAATCACAAGGCTGAGAGATGTAAAAGCATTAGGAAAGGACGAAGGAAGGCAGAATAAGTGATATGCAATAGCACACGCATGCGCGCACACACACACGCACACACACGCACACACGCATTGCTACTAAAGCAGGGCTGGGCCCACCACAGTTGCTGACTGCACGGTGTGCATAGAACTGTTTGCAATAATTTCGGAATCATACCTTGTTTTGTTTAAGGGCACCTTTCTCTTTCATATGAGGGCAGTCCTTCCCCGTCACCACCGCTTTGATATCTGCCACCGGCACTGCAATTCATAAGAGAAAATGAAAGTAACTACACCATGTGAAAGCTGAGATGTCAATAAAGAGTCAGGAGTGAGCACTGAGTCGGCGGGCGCAGTTGTCATTCTGAGAAACTACCGCAGAAAGAGGAAATAAAAAAAGAGGCAAAAAGAGAAAGAGGAGTCAGGCAGGGTCCCAGGGACAGAAAGGAAAATAGTCTGCTAAAAAGCATCCCTGGGGAGAAAAGTCTATGTTCACGACCAGAATTTGTGAAACAAATGCCCATTTGTGAAACAAATTCCTAAGAAAAGCTATCATAGTCATGTAAAAGTGATGGTACTAGAATCAGTAGTAATAATAATGATAATAATACCAGTGGTGCTAATCCTGATATTAGGCAAGACCCCTTTTGCTAGGAACAATGCCAAGTGCTTTGCTTCTGAGAAGCTATTAGCTTCTGAGTTTTGGATAATGAGGAGAAGCAACCTTACCACAAAAAATTGATCTGAATCTGAAGAGTCGCTCTCCAAATCCTCACTCTCTACCACCTTGTTAATTCTCACAACTCTGGGAGACAGATTTTTGTAATCTCTGTTTTACAGACAACGAAAGTAAACTCAATTAAATAAAGGGAACATTCCTTTCTGATAGGGAGATGGTAGCCGGTATTTATCTTGGAGAATAATGCAGTTTTAGATAAAACGATGTTATCTCATGTCTTACTCAGGACTTGGAGGAAGATAAAAGACGGGTTTGTGCGTTTCAAACTTTTGTCAAGATCACCTGAGAGAGGGAAGGCAGTGGGATGGTTTGGAACCATAGCTTAAAAAACTGTGAAGTCACCTGTCCCTCTCCAATCCCTGATCTTGTAGTTCCACAAGGGACTGTGAATCTAGAGGCCCACTTAGGATCTACAGAAACTTCAAGTAACCAATGTCTTAGACTCCCTTAATGGAGAAGATGATGAGAGATTTCATAATTAAAATTCCCCTGCTTATATTGGGGATTGGGTTGTGGGGGAGAGATTTAGACGAAGACGAAATTATGAAATATATAGAATATCAAAATGATACAACAGGAAGGCCTTTTAAAAAGCTAACATTTTTCAGGTACCCTAAAATTCCTAAGACTTTGTTCAAATCTGTCCATATCCCTGAGAGCTTTCTTTAGCCCCAGAGAAAAGTGGGGTTTTGATCAACTCTTCCAGGAATCTCTGCATATACTCCCTGCTATCTGCCCCACCATGTCTGCTCCTTCATCCCGCAGTCCTAATTCTAGATCCCTTCGGCAGAAATTACTTGTGCTGAGTGGTATCTGGCTTTCCTCCCTTTCTGGACATATATATGGAAGATTACACTTCCCAGCAACCTTTGCAGTTAGGTGGGGCCACATGATTATGTCTGGCCAGTGAAATGTGAGAGGCAACGGCATGCCAGTCTCTTCTAGACAGAGGCAGTAAAAAGTCACTGTCCACCAGAATCTCTTCAGAAACTGAACAAGCCATATATTCCATCCAGATGGCACAGCTGTGGGAGGGCAGAGCAGTCACTGGCCTGTGTCCCTGAGTGACTATGTGGGGCAGCACTTTCATACCCCATGTCAGTCACATAACATGAATGAGAATATACTCTTAGCATCATAAGCCCCTGTGATCTGGGGGGGGGGGGGTCACTTGTTCCCGCAGCATAAGTCAGCAATGCAGCCTATCTTCACTGGCAGAATCCTTTACCTGGGATGTCTTTCCTGTCTCTGTTTGGCCCCTTTGAATTGGCATCTTCCTAAAGACAGTCTCTATAATTCCCGGACCTACTTTTGACCACAACCACTGACTTCAGTTCTTCTGAGGTCCATTTTTTGTAACCAGTGATCAGCCCTGTTCCCCTCAGTGGTCAATTGGGTTGCCTAATCACTACCCCAGGAGTGGACATTTGGGTCCTCTGGGAAGTTGGGTCAACTCCGTGTTTACTTTTCAGTTGAAAACCCGACACTGAAGTGAATTTGTGAAAGAGTTAACATCCTAAGTCAAAAGCCTTCTCAAGCTTCAGATGGAGTTTGAGTCACAGTTACTGTGCAGAGAGTCTTTTGTTGTATCATATATAACATGGTCAACGAACTAGAAAGAGTTTCTACAATCTATAAATACTAAGTTACCCTTTGGCTTTGAAAAGCCATCATATGGAACGGGACAAGAGTAACACAAAGGTCTACAGTGGGAGTAGTCTTCAGAATCTCTAATGAGGAGGCTTCGGGGAAGAAAAGGCACTTTTCTACTGTGCTTGTGGCAGTACATATTCTGTTTTTTATATGCATTGTCCCCTGTCAAGGAGACAAGCTGCTATATTACTCACAGGATTATGGCTAAAAGGAAACACAAAATTCTAAAAATACAGCATGGCTTTTAAAGGTTGCTCTTTGCATAGTTTGTCTCTAGATGCATTGGAAGATTAGGCATCAGAAGGCTAGAATGCCGTCCTTTCTATTCCCATGAGCAGAATCAGACTCACGGCTCTTGAATCTACACTCTGAGGAGGCAGGAGCGGGCTCCTGATTACTTCAAAGTCAGGCTAGTGTTTCCATTAGGCATTTTTATGTGGGAGCAGCATAAAGAAAGGGTGCCGAGAGATATGGGAATCAAAAGGGCCCCTGCTGGCACCCAACAGTCCACTCTAAATCTTTGGAGGTATGGCCTCATTTCTTTCTGCCCTTTTTTCTCAGTTTGAGCTGGACTGAGATCATCTCATCCAATACGACCATTTTACAAATGGGAAGACTGAGGCCTCAACAGAGGAAATAAATTATACAATGTCACATAGTTAGTGGAGGACAGAGTCAGGACTGTTTTTTCTTCTACCCTACCCTCCCTTGCTTGGTCATGACTACTCCCTACGTTTGGAAGCTGTCAGAATCCTCAAATCATGCTGAACAGAGCCCCAGATGTGGTTATCACTTCAGACTCTCTAGGAAACTCTTTAACTGCTGATATCTGTGGAAGGATCTGTAATTGTGATTCAAAACAAAAACACAATTGAAAAGGCACACATGGCCACCAACATAGTTTTAACTTTCACCACTGAGAGCCACATTGAGGCAGAAACCACCCCAGGAAGTAGCTAGTAAGCCAAGAGCCCTTGCTGCAGACACAGCTCCATAGACGCTCTGGTGAGTGGTGACGCTCAGAGGAGGGACAGGCTGATCCTATCCCTGTTCAGTTCAATGAAGAATCTGATCTCTATCCTGGCAGCACAGAGTGGTGGGAAGGGCTGTGCCCTTGGTATCAGACTGGCTTTGAATTCTAGATCCACCTACTGGTTGTACCACTTTGGGCTTAAGTTCTTGGAGCCTAACCTTCCTCATCTGCAATGTGGAAACTATGGCATCAGCTACTCATATGGTTGCTCCAAGAATGAAGTCCTATTGCAGGAGCCAGGATCATTGTTGGCTTCTAATCGAGGCAGCACAGGTAGTGGGGAAAAGCCTGGGCCATGGAATTGGATGGCTGCAATCAGATCTCTGTTCTGTTTCCCGGCCACGTTTTCTGTACCTCCGTTTCCTTAACTGTAAAACAAGGGCAATCATGTCTACCTCTCCAGGTTGGTGAGAGGGTAATTTATGTAGAGCTCTTAGCATAGTGCCTGGCATATAGTAAGCACTCAATAAATGTTGTCCACGATTATTCTCATTACCAATAATCAATGTTAAATTGTCTCTATAGATCAAGGGACCTGAAGTATTCACTGTGCTTCAGTGACCCAAATTGCCCACTCTGTTTTGCTGTCTCAGCTGCCCCTCCCACCCTCTGTAATAGGCTTAATCGCCTTGTGCAAGGGAGTGAGCCTTCTTTCTGGCCCCTTGGATGTGGGGGTGAGAAGCTCTGGCCTAGATTCTTTCAAAGGGAGGCACTGAGGGGCCTGGGGCACAGCTGGAAAGCAATGGAGTCTAGTGTCTGGTGAGGGTGATGCAAGCCTGTAAACTTAGCGGGAGAGATGTAGGGCCGTATCTCCTGCCAAACAAAAGTAATATGAGAAGAGACTTCCTAAACCTTCAGGGATGAAGACAGCCAAGGAGAGGCCCTCAATCTTTACTCGCACTCTCTATATCAAGAAGATTCAATTACACTATTTGGTTCATCAATATCTCAATATTCAGCACTGATTAACTCAAGGGGCGGAAGACAATTTCCCCCTTGGTCTCAAGAGAGGGCAATCGTACATGACAAGAGCAAGGCACTTGAAATTAATTAGAGGAACATTTCATTTTTCTAGTGGAATGAGGTTTATGACTTTTAAGGGCTCTAAGATGATGGGCAGAATGCCCATGGAATTGGAATTAAAGGCAAACCAGGTGCCAGGCCTGAAGCAGCAGACTTTAGTTTCCCAAGATGGGGCTTCTCATCTCGAGCACATACCAGGTTCATTTTACTTATTTACGTGAATACACCCCCTCCTTGGCTCACATGTGCCTACAGATATAATCTCAAGAACACACACACACACACAGACACACACACACACACCCCTGCATGCATACACCTGTACAAGTATGCATTCCTGGTTTATTTTTCAATGGATAGACTGTTAATGGAGAAACTCTTTTGAACTCCGAAGTACTGGATTTCAAAGGCTGCAGAGGTAAGGTAAGGTAAGACTAGAGTTTTGGAGCCATTGTCAGAACGGACGATTGTAACCCTTTCCCAGGACCAGTATCACTCTGTGGCCACTACCAAAAGCTGTTTAGAGATCTGCAGCTCTAACCTTGCTCCTCTGTGAACACCCTGGCAAGCTGGTTCTCTCTGGCATTGGCATTCCTGGTTTATATCTGGTTACTTTTACCCTGGGCTCCTGGGGGTGCAGGCCTTGGTAGAACTGGGGGTAGGGGCATCAGCTTGTGGGCAAGCCCAGGAACTGCCCCTACAAGTTCAGGAGCTGTCCACCCCTTGACCTTCTCTAGGAGCTGGGCTACCAGTTTCCTAAGCAACAGAAACAGCTAGAATGGGGGTGCTGCATATAACACCTGTAAACAATGCCAATCAAATGCCTATATGTGAGTTGAGAAGTGGATTATATCCCTATAACTACGGGAATAAATAATATGTCCAGTGAGTGGGAAAGCTGATTCATTGGTCCATGTGGGAAAAAAAAATGAATTATGCTGTGTGCAAGTGTGTTTGAGTGTGTGTGTGTGTGTGTGTGTGTGTGTGTGTGTGTGTGTTTTCCCCAGACCACTTTCCCTATTTCGTGGTCAGGTGAAGAATGAGACTGTGGCAGACTGTGTATAGAACTGGTTGCAGGATGCCGGGGTGGCTCAGTTGGTTAAGCATCCCAACTCTTGATTTCAGCTCAGGTCAGGATCTCACAGTTTGGTGAGTTTGAGCCCCATGCTGGGCTCTGTGCTGACAGTGTGGAGCTTACCTGGGATTCTCTGTCTCCCTTTCTCTCTCTGTCCCTCCGTAGCTTTCTCTCTCTCTCTTTCTCACTCTTTCTCCCTCTCAAAAATAAATACATAAACATAAAAAAAAAAAAACCAAAAAACTTCTGTTTGCTTTGAGCAATAGTCACCATTAACTCTTCATTTTCCCACTGTAGCAGTGATTCCAAATTGCTGGCCTCTGGACAGTTCCAAGTTCGCGAGCAAAGTTTTGCCAGTAAGTTTTCACCAGTGAACAGCAAAGAGAGGAAAATGAAGACCAAGCTGTGAGTTTTTAATAAAGCTAATTTAATTTAGTAGAAGCAACTGTCCTATATTCCAAGATTAGGTCTTTCAGCTCTTTCTTATTGTTTTTCATGATTAAGAGCCCCTCCCCCTTCTTTTTTTAATGAAAGGAATGTGATATTAAATTTTAGTTAGATCTTATTTCTTACTAGACTTTTTTTTTTACCAAAATGAAAAGTTGGCAACCCACTGTCAAATCACTTTTTTTTTTGTTCTTTTACAATATTTACTTACTGGTAAAGCCAAATTTAGGAAATCATCACGAAGATTATCAGGCAGTATCTAGCTCAGCAGTTCTCATTCTGAGTGTGCATCAGAACTGCCTGGAGAGTCTGTTTTAGACAGAGGTTGCCGATCCCTGTCCTCAGAGTTTCTGATTCAGTAGGACTGGAAAAGAGGCTGGAGAATCTGTATTTCTAGTAAATTTTCAGGAGATGCTGCTCACGGGTCAAGGACCATACTCTGAGAACCACTGGCCTGGCTTGTCCATGGTGGAATGGGGAAGGCTTTCTGAGACTTGAAGGGAGGATCCTCATTGTAGGCAGAGGCCTGGAACGCTGCCAATGCCGAGACACTGTCCCAGACGCTGTAGCTGTGGGCTTCAGATTTCTTCCACCTTCCACTAGTGAGGCCAATAATGTGGGCCAGAGAAGCAGTGCTCCTATGAAAGCAAACAAGCTTGCTTTCCGAGCTAAGTGACTCTACAAAGACTAGACTGTTCCATTTCTAAGCTGGAGGAAGAGAGAATTTTCTAGGTTGTCCACCTGATATGTCAGCGCAGATTCTGAATGTGTCAGGCATTTGTCACTTGTGGTTACTTTTTGCCTTTGGTGGCCATGGGCTGCAAGGAAGGTAGTACAGAGCTGACTTCCTTGGGCCCTGGGGTGATGAGAGGAAAGACCTTGGGGCTTGGGGCTAAGGATTCAGTCTGTTACATCCTGCTGAGATGACTTATGCAGGGTCCGTGTAACTTTTGAAGGCTACTTAATAGTGTTCTTTATTTGTTTTCTCACTCTTTCCCACTCTGATTTCTCTAACTGGGATGTCCTCTGAGGTTATGTTCATTTTATCTCATTTTTCTTCCAAATGAATGTATCACCTTTATGTATTTTAATGTTTATATAATACTTGGTTTAATTCGCACACTTAATACTGTCTAAGAACCTGGACCTGGTTTGGTGTTGGGCTAAAATAATCTGGCAAATTACTGGCTCTTCAAAAACATACACATTAAAATAGAATTGTACAGAAACAGCAAAGAAATACAAATAATATGTGTTTCAGGGATATGTATTTTAGCTGATGATAGAATGTAACTGATCATAAATGTTCTAAGTGTCAGGGGCCCCTGGGTGGCTCAGTCGATTGAGCTACCAACTCTTGGTTTTGGCTCAGGTCATGATCTCATTGTTCATGGGTTTGAGCCCTGCTGACAGTGTGGAGCCTGCCTGGGATTCTCTCTCTCCCTCTCTTTCTCTCTGCCCCTCCCTGTCTCACACACACATGTGCCCTCTTTCTCTCTGAAAATAAATGAACATTAAAAAATATAAATAAATTTTTTAAATGCCTGAGTTACTTCTCTGAAGCAGGTTAGCCATCCTGGGGTCTCCCATTAGCTCTGCATTACAGTCATGGGATACACTAAACTATAATGAGTACATGCGGTAGGGATCAAGTTCATGATTCATGGAAAATTATTCTGGGTCATCAGAAAAAGGCAATCGACAGAGTCAGGTTTCTATTGTCTTTGCTCCTTAAAACAGCAACTGGAGGAGTAGTGTGAAAGTGGACATCTGAAACCCAGCTTTACATTTTTCAGGAAAGATATGTGAGCATTCCTTCTGTGCCCTCCCCTTTTCTGTCCCGAAGCCCCAGTCTATCAGGGTCTCGTACGTGATGAGAATGCTCAGGCCAGGACCTACGACAAGATGAGACACGTCCAGTGGATTTATTTGGGCTGGTAGTTTTCCTGCGTGCTATTTTGTGACCAGGAAGAGAAACAAACAACCCAAACTCAGTCCTCCTACACAGGAGAGCCACTTACATTTGTCCTGCAAGGAATCGTGGGGCACTTCTCCCTGAGGACTTTCTTCCAAGTCTCCATAATGCAGAACCTTGTGGTTGGGTGAAAGTCGACAGTACCAAAACTTGTCTGAAGGAAAAAAAAAAAAACACAAATTTATAAGGTAAGTGATTCTGATTTCTAAAAGTATCGACATCCCGGGCGCCTGGGTGGCTCAGTCGGTTAAGTGTCTGACTTCAGCTCAGGTCACGATCTTGCGGTCAGTGAGTTCCAGCCCCGCGTCGGGCTCTGCTGACAGCTCGGAGCCTGGAGGCTGCTTTGGATTCTGTGTCTTTCTCTCTCTCTGCCCATCCCCCACTTGTGCTCTGTCTCTGTCTCTGTCTCTCTCAAAAATAAATAAACACTAAATTTTAAGTCTTCAGGAAGGAAGGAATTCTAGAGCCCTGGGCAATAGGCCTCTTGATTTTGATATTTAGTTAGCACTGTCCTGACTAAAATACATTGGGTAACCACTGGGGAGGTTATTAAATCCTTCAGGCATAATGGCAGCAGGTGTTCTGCGGTGGTGGCTTCCAGAGCGTCATTTCATCAGTATTTATAATGACTATGGGCATCCTTCCCTATCCTCTTAGGTCTGGCAAAAGTGGGGAGGGAAATGTAGAAAAAGCAGCTTTCTTGGAACTCCCCTGCTTCCACTTTCCTCTCCGAGATTTTAAAACTGTTGAGGTAATTTACTTGTGCCACATCTTAGTTGCTATACCGAACCCCCACCCCTGGGGCTAATACATGCAAATTAATCAACAAATGGATTTTTAGGATGCCAGTGATACACATAAGGGGTGGAGTTTATGAGGAAATAACCTAAATGATTCAGAGATTTATCCAAAGAATGAGGATATTCACAATCATCTCCTCTCTAATTCCTAGAGTGTAGTCCTCTGAATAGACATGACTAGAAGGGGATTAAGAGGTGCAGTCTTCCCTTTATGAAATGATTAAGAATGGGGATTTAATGTATGGCACAGGGAACACAATCAGTAGTAGTGTAACAACTGAGTATGGTGACACATGTAACTACACTTACTGTGGTGACCATTTTGTAATATACGAAGTACTGAATCACTATATTGTACACCTGAAACTCAAAAAATAAAAAAAAAATTAAGACAAAAATAAAGAACTAGACATGACCAGGGTCTTAGGACCATACTTACAAATAACTCCCTCAACTTAACTTCCTCTGTGTTCCAAGGTAATAAAAATGAATAAGCCTGAGAGGTAGGGGGGAGGCAAAAACACTTTTTATAGATAAGAAATTTAAATTGTGACAGCAATCTTTGTGAAGCTCTCAAGCAAGGCTGTGCTTAGATGCCTCCTCCTCCAGGAAGCCCTCTCTGATTACTACTGCTGAAGGAACTCTCCTCATCCTCTTGGATGCCCCAGTGTCTTCTTTGATTATTAGTGCCCCCATGTTAAGCATCTTAGTATTTCCCCTTCTTTACCACAAACCCTAGGCAACTTGCCCTCGCAGGTGTACTGCTAACAATGACTGATGGAAGAAGAGGATTCAGGATACTCATGAGCCTGGACAGTGTGAAGCCAGAGCTCTCTAATGACAGCCACTGTCTTCATAATTGCACTGTCCCAATCCCTTGGCACAGTGCCTGGCACATGGGGGTTGCACAGTTGGTGTTGGTTAAATTGATAAATGAGGACCCAAGGGGACTTGGTCAAAATGCTTAAGGCACAAAGCATCTATGATGTTGAAAGCATCTATGACCTGTAAGCCCCTTTGTGCAATGATGCAGTTGGCAAACATGGTGGCCTTGGTCAAGTCACCTCATTACTGTGCCTACAAACATGTATTGCTTTGAAACTGCTCTGACTAGAAAGCTATCACAACATTTTAAAGAAAGGGTTTTTCTATCTAAAATCGCCTTCACTGCAAAGCTTATATTTTAACTAGGACTCTTTTAATAGAAAAGAAAGATTTAAAAATGGAACTAAAAGCCACACAACGAACAAAGAAAATGCCCCAACTTGATCTACAAAAGCAAAACACCTTTGGGATTCCTATCTTCCTCATCTATAAATAGGGTTTGAGAACTCTTGAATGTACTCATAATATGGCAATCCACATTTTTATTTTTATTTTTTATTTTTTTTTTAATTTTTTTTTCAACGTTTATTTATTTTTGGGACAGAAAGAGACAGAGCATGAACAGGGGAGGGGCAGAGAGAGAGGGAGACACAGAATCGGAAACAGGCTCCAGGCTCCGAGCCATCAGCCCAGAGCCTGACGCGGGGCTCGAACTCACGGACCGCGAGATCGTGACCTGGCTGAAGTCGGACGCTTAACCGACTGCGCTACCCAGGCGCCCCGGCAATCCACATTTTTAAAAGAATCTGAACTCTTCTGCAAAAATCTGGGAGGAAAGGAAAAGTTATTTGCTGGCTAGGGAAACATCTGGCGTTGCTCAATTTTCAAAATTATATCCATACATACAACATAGGTCATTTTCCTGGGAGAGTATTTCAAAGGCAGAGAATAAAGTTATTCCCTGAATAATTCACAGTCATTTCAATTAGGCAAACATGTAATCATCAATTTTCCATGAAGAACACATTTGGGAATCGGATTTGTAATTCACAATAGGAACTGTGAATTCCAAGGGAGCAGGCCATGCTTTGGCCGTGAGTAGCAATAGTACTCAGGGGGTGGGGGGCCTGAATGACAGGCTGTGGAGGTTCCTCCTCCCCAAAGGGAACTTTCACCTTGCCTACATAGCCTGCGGTGACTGTCCAAAGCCAGCTGGAGAGATTTTCTACGAAGCTTTCTTCCCCTGATACCTTGGCGGTGCGATTTTTAGCTAAGTGAGCAACTGAAGGGTGACAGAAAGCCAGCAAGGAGTCAGTGAGCTAGCTGTGCACTGGGATATACAGGTCTTATTTAGAATAAGGTCCCAACCGGTTCTTTCCAGGGATCCCTGGCTTCTTAAGCTGGGATAAACTCTAAGGGTAATGGTAGGAACCTAAAGCCCAAGGGCCAGTATGATGCAATCAAAGATCAAAGATCATTCATTCTCAATACACTGGTGAGTGTTAAAAAATTTAAGTGGTATAACCAGATATCTTGTGCAGTAAAATGCACAACTTGTGTTCGTTCGTAAGACTTCAAAAGTTTTTGCTGCATATACTTTCAAGGGAAGTTTACTTATCCAGTGAATATTTGCAGAGTGCCTACAAAACATGCAGCACTCTATTAGGTACAGCACAAAAACTGTTAGGGTGAAAGGCAGACAATGAGAGACAAAGCCAAGAAGCTCTAGGGCAACAGGCTCCCTTAGTTCTTAGTGGCAAATAAGAGAAACATGGTGGAAACACTTGCTTCCCAGGTTTGGGAAGTAGGGACAGGGACTCAGGGACTCTGGCCATACTGCAAGGAAAAATAGGGACAGGCAAGGTCTCTTGTGTAACATATGCTTCGATTCAGAAACGGAGAGTCTGTCAGGGTTCCTGAAGGCCAAGCAACCATCTTTGCAAAGTTGCCGTTGACATCTGCTTAAAAGGAACCCAAAAGGCTACCCAGAATCCCGCCTTAACAATAGCTGGTGCACAACTGACAGAATGTCCTCCTTCCAGGAGGCCTAAATTCTCTTGACTTTTAGGATACCACACTCCTCTAGTTTTCCTCCTTCCTCTGGCTAACTCCCCTCCTATCCTCTAGAAGTTCCTCTTTCTCAGTCCCCTACTGCAATGGTAGAGAGCAAAAAGATCGGTACCTCACAGACCTAAGTGATTGCTCTGTTGCTCCCCATCAAACAGGAAATCTTGGAAGGATGACAAAATATTGGAAGAGGGGCTGAACTGGCTTGGGGAAGCTGTTTTGACTCATAAACAAATGGGTGGATACTGTGCCAGTATCTTCCTCAGGATAAAGGCTGGGGTCATTAGTTCTGGGAAGGTTTCAAGGCATCATAATGTGTGTGTGTCAGTCTCAAAGGTGGAGCTGCCGTAAAGGACAACAGGGCTGTCAGCTCTGAGCAGCGAACACACCGGCTCATTGCGTGACACGATTTCAGTGTCAGCCGGCAGCAGCAGCTTGATTTGCAGTTTCTTTAATGGTAAGAAAAATGTGTATTTCTTTTCAAAGCCCAGCATGATGTTACTAGTTCCTCAATCCCTCTGGGCAATGAATGAGTGGATTATGTCATTAGAAGCAATTAGCAGGAGGCAGTGAGAACATTATCAAAGATTGTTTACTAGCATTTAAAGAATAAACAGGAGTTAATATAGAGGTCTTCCAGTCAATTATGAGTATTAGCACATTAATAGCCATTTCTTCATTCCCCAAATTCAAAAACTGACAATTTGGAGACAATTTTGTACTTCATTTTCTTGGTCTGTCTCTGTATGTGTGCGTGTGCATGCATGCATGCGTGTGCGTGTATGTGTGTGTGTGTGTGTGTGTGTGTGTGTGTGTGTGTGAAGGATGAGAGGAAAGCTGGTTTCAGAGCTCACAAGCCTGCTAAGAAGGTCTCCAGGGCTGATTAAAGCTATTCCCAATGTCACATAGATCATTACAGAGCTAATAACCACTGACAACTGTAATTCTTGCAGCACTGCTTGATAGAACTTTCTGTAATGATGGAAATACTCCACAGATCCTTATCCAATAATAAGAAAAGAAGAATTAAATTTTATTAAATTTCAATTAAATTAGCCATAGGTAGCTTTATCCAACAGTACGACTGATCATCTGTCTTCATCATCAAGGCTGGAGACATGTTTGGGGCTGGCCAGTAGGACCGTAGGGGAGGTGAGCAAGCTGAATAATAGCTACCACTGTTGAAAGTGAAATGCTGGGCAGTTCAGTGAGGTGCAGGTCAGCTCTGGCATGGACTCAGGGTGACATCTTTGCCTTGGGTGCAAAGCCCCCAGTTGGCTGGTGACTGCTGGCACAGGGAATCCTGAGAGACCTGTGTTTGGGAAGCAGGTGGCCTTTACTAGAATAAATTTTTAGAGCACTTCCCTTAGGATTTTGGAGCTTTCTCAGGTTAACCTAACATGTGCAACATCTTCAATGTGTTCAGGTCTTCCTCCTGCCTAGGCTTGAAGGTTTCCAAGTCACAAAACACGAGGGACTTCAGCAATGCTTTTAAAGGGAAATGGTGATGAGATACAAGATTCCTCTGTTGGTCCAGTAAAGGAGGACAATGAATATAGATACAGACAAAGGTCATCCTGCTTTTCAAATCTTCCTCATTTCACCAATCTCCAGAAAGAGACAGGTGTTTTGATTCAGAATTCTGCCTCCCTGGAGACTGCTGTCTCCTTTCACAACAGAAGATGACTCCAGAGCCCCAAATCCTCTTAAAGATGGTTTGGCCTAATCTGCACTTTGGAATCAAACAGACCTGGGCTATGCACCCGGCCCTCACACATCATCCAAGTGGCCTTGGCCGAATTATAAGAACCTTAGGGATCCCTGTTCTTCTTTTGTTAAGTAATGTTAATAATTATATGAGTAAAACATATATAAGATATCCACTTATGCACCTTTCACAGATCTGGCTCACAAATATTAGTATCTTCCTGTTCTTCCAGTTAATGGTAACCCTCCTGTCTACTACTGGTCCCTCCACCGTTCGAGAACAATGATTATCTGTTATTCTGATCTGCAGGAATGTGCTCTGTCCCTGAAAATCAATTGGATTTTCTTCCTTTGAAAATATGCTTTTATTTTCCCCTTTTTGTTAGAAAAACAAGTTATGATAAGGCTTAATTAAGCCTTAAAAGAAAATTTCAATCAAGGACAGTGGAAGAAATAGCCTGCTCCTACAGGGGTTCTGTGCATGAATAGACCACTTGCCGCTAGGTTTTCTGGGTGAGCTAAAAGACCAACGTAAGGTATATCACCCTTGGCAGCAGTGCGGAAGTCTGCCAATTCCTTGGTGGGAGGACATGTTTTGGTCACTCCTGAGCTCCAAATTAAGTTTGTCATGTTAGCGCTTAGAGAAGGGATGCTGGCCAACAAAATGGACAGTGTTTTCAATGAGAAGCAAAAGTTTCATGTTGTCATTTCTTGAAATGACACAACAATGTGTAGCCCTGGGCTCTTGGCAAGACGATGCAACATGAGTGATTCTGAAAGCCCCTAATCTCTATCTCTGAAATCGAAGGAAAATAGGGAGCAGTTTCTGATCCTGCAGATTCTCATGATGCCAATAATGGCCCTAACATAAACAACCTCTGGAGTTTCATCTGAACTGTCTCCTACAGAAGCAAGGCAATCTCTCTCATTGTGAAGCAGTCTGAACAAGAGTCTTCCATACTCTGTGGTAGGAAGAGAATGGCGTGAGGTTGGCATGTGATATCCATTGCCAATCTACCATCTGTGTTTAAAAACCTATATTCTGAGGATCTACAAGCTAAAATTAATGATAACTATCACTAATGAATGTTTGACAATGTGTAAAACACTACACTGAGTGCTACAGATGCAGGATTTTATTTAACCCTTATAACTGTTAGATGTAAAACCATCATCCTTTGACAGATGAGGAAATAGGAACGTAGAGCGATCTAGAGGGTTTCCCAAGACTACCCAGCTAGTGAGTGGGGAAGCAGGCACAAGAATACAGCTTGATGTGTTTCACATGATTTACTGCGGTTCTAAAGTGGTCAGAATTCCAGGAAACCCAGATTTGTGAATATCTTCATCAGTCTAACCAAGTAGCAGAGCTGTGACTGAGGCAGGTAGAATTATGGGTAGGTATTAACGCAGGTCTTCTGGTCAAACAGTGTGGTAAAGGACTCTGTCTGCTTCTCCACTTTCCAGTTTTGTGGGACAAAAAACTCTTTCATATTTTCCCCTGTAAAGTTAATACTTGAATCAACTCATCTATATCCAAATCACTGTTGGACAAGTTTCAAGGGAGTGCAGCCGCCATTCCTTCACCGCGTGTTTGCTCTTTAAGCTGTGACGCCACATGGCTGCTCCCCTCTGAGAGCTCCTCTGGAAGTACACCTCTTTCAAAGGATTAAAATGATTTTACATCATATCCTCATTAATCTGTGTAAATCTAAATGGACTGTTTTGATGGGATGATAGGAAACCAATTTCAGCACAGTCTGCTTTGAATCCCTACTTTTAAGCACACAGACCTAGTCATCAGACTAGGATCTCGTGCTGAATGTGGATCTTGTGCTTAAATCCATTTACCAAACACCAAAAGGCCTTCCTTTCTGCACCCAGAAGGATGATTTTATATTAAACACAGATGGGCAGGCTCCCTAGGGAGCTTAACTAATGAATTTATAATCTAGGTGCTAATATTTCTTCGTTCATTAGGTAAGTCATTTTTAGAAAACTGGACAAATTTTCAGATAACAGACTAACACCTCTTTAGCCAAAAAACTGTCATTATTATATCTAGAAACAGGATTATTCTAGAGTCCACTAGAATAATTTCACCCTAAAAAGGGAAGACTCATGGCAAAGTAGACTGGAAGGTTAAGTTGACTTCTCTGAATTAAGTTCTGGAGGATCCTAGCTGAACGTCAGTGGAGGCATTGGACGGTTTGTGTCCATGTGCCACTTCTCCCCTCCTCCTCCCACTTCTATGTCCTTTGCCCAAGCTGAGTACATAAAAGCTTTATAAATCATCTTATGGGAGCATATGTCCTCACTATTGAGTTTTTCAAAGGTGATGAAGAGATCAGGTATGGAATTGACTTTCTGGCTAACTGGGCTAAGAGATCATCTAGTCCTATTCTCTCACTTATTAGATAAGAAACTGTAGCCCTGAGAGGTCATGTGTCTGCCTAAAGGCACCCAGCTGGTTACTTAGAGTTGGGAAGCCTAGAATTAAGTCTACTCACTACCAGCTCATTGCTCTTTTCCTACACCATCTCCCCGAAGAGTAGGAGCTACCCTTTGTTTAAGAGCTACATTCATGATCACCCTCCCTCCTTACGCTAACTTCAGGATACAGGCCTTGTTAGCTCCATTTCAGATGGAGAAACTGCCCACAGTCATGGAGCTGGTCAGGGGAAGAGGCAGGACTGTGCCCATTTCATCTGGCTCCGGGTCTCCTGTCCTCACCACCATGCCACATTACCTTCCTGGAATAGGAAGATGTCCAATGCAAGGAATGCGGTGAGAAAGATGTCAATGCAAGAAATGCCCTCTTCCACTGCTCTCCCAAAGTGAGCCTTTCTTAGCACCAGCTGCATCTCAGCCCTTATTATTATTCTGCCCATTGTCCTCTCCCCTGAGGCCCCCTTTGAAGCTCACTGCCATAGCTTTTCAGTCTCTGGGAACAACCTGAATTTTCATTCCTCAAGGAAGTTCCACCGTTGGAAGTTCTCTAATATGATTTTTAATGGTAATATTCGAAATAGTTTGAATTTACTCAACATTCAGCACAAAGGCCATTTAAGTAAAGGGCCAGGGGGATGGGCTCAGCAAAAACATGAAATAATGTTTGTCATTAGTGGGTGAGCTCTGTGTCTGAGCAGAACATCCACTGAGTTTCAAAAAGATCTGCCAGAGTTTCTCCTGGGTCGTAACTGGTGTCTGTTCTTCGTATAACTGTTAATTCTGATGCTTGTTCCTGGCTGTCCCTCAATCTCTTCACCTCTCCCCAGATCTTATTTTCCAGTTTTACTTTCTGTTTGTTTGTAGGGAATATGATAGGAGTACTTTGACTTTTCAGTCAGCAGCCTGTCAAAAGAAAAAGAAAGCAAATAGTGGGACTTCACTTCCCTAAAAACAGCTGGAAGTGCTTCCCACCTATGGGAACTACTCTAATGGCACCCATTTTGACAAGATATTTTTGGATTAAAATTCGTCGAGACAATTCTTGCAAGAATTGTCAATAGAAGTTCTTCTTGCAAGATTATCAAAACTGATTCTATCCCATCTGGGTTCACTGTTACCTGCATCTGCAAATAAAGTAATTTATACCTAGAAGAGAATCAGTATTGGGATTTGGGAATAAGGGCCATCCATGCTGAAAGTTTCAAGATCAAACCCAACACTAGGTGCCAGCTCTCCTGACAGCAGAGTGAGTCATTAAAAATAAGGGCCATAGGGTTGCTAGAGTATGAATCCTTGCTCTTCTGCAAGTTGCTCTTTGAGCCAGTTACTTACTTAAGTTACTTACTCCTCAGTGCCTTAGTTTCCTTATCTGTGAACTGGGCATAATCACAGGATTACCTATGGTTACCATGAGAATGAAATGCATTAAAATAAGAGCCTGGCACATGGTAAGTGCTCAGTACATGTTAGTTGTTCTTGAACAACAGTTCCATGGGTGTTCTGGTAATTCTTTGATTCTCTCTGGGTATGCATGAGTAGTCAAATCTTACCTGGACTGCTATTCTTGTTCTGAGTACAATGCTGCATAGCCTACTTGTAAACTAGCACCCGTGCCCTGTGATACCCCATGGAGTGGGCCACGGTTCACCCTAGCTGAGGGTGGAGTGGTCCCAAACACAGTACCTTGCCTCCGTCGGCAGTTGAGTTTCCTAAAGCAGGTCCCTTCCACAAGGCGGTTCAGGCGTTGCTGTTTGATCAGCTCCAAGATTTCTGGCTGAATCTTCTCCTTTAGTTCCCTGTGAAGGACAAACATATATTCCATAGCATACCTTGAGAACAGCGGTTGGTTGAAAGGACATCATGGGCATGGCTTTCCAAGAGCTTTCCGTGGTTTTAAATGCTTACCAAACATTTAAAGAAGAGTTAATACCTATTCTTTTGAAGCTGTTCCAAAAGGTAGAAATGGAAGGAAAACTTCCAAAGTCATCCTATGAGGCTTGATTCCAAAACCAGACAAAGACCTCACTAAAAAGGAGAATTACAGACCAATTTCCCTGATGAACATGGATGCAAAAATTCTCAACAAGATACTAGCAAATCGAATCCAACAGTACATTAAAAGAATTATTCACCATGATCAAATGGGATTTATTTCTGGGCTGCAGGGCTGGTTCAATATGTGCAAATCAATCAATGTGATACACTACATTAATAAAAGAAAGGAAAAGAACCACATGATCTGCTCAATAGATGCAGAAAAAGCTTTTGACAAGATACAGCATCCTTTCTTGACAAAAACCCTCAAGAAAGCAGGGAAAGAAGGAACATATCTCAACATCATAAAGGCCACATATGAAAGACCCACAGCTAATATCATCCTCAATGGGGAAAAACTGAGTTTTCCCCTTAAGATCAGGAACACGACAGGGATGTCCACTCTCACCACTGTTGTGTAACATAGTATTGGAAGTCCTGGCCTCAGCAATCAGACAACAAGAAAAAATAAAAGGCATACAAATGGGCAAGGAAGAAGTCAAACTTTCACTCTTTGCAGACAACATGATATTCTATGTGGGAAACTAAAAGACTAGACCAAAAAACTGCTAGAACTGATACATGAATTCAGCAAAGTCACAGGATATAAAATCAACATACAGAAATCATTTTGCATTTCTATATAACAATAATGAAGTAGTAGAAAGAGAAATCAAGGAATCGATCTCATTTACAATTGTACCAAAACTGTAAGATACCTAGGAATAAATCTAACCAAAGAGGTAAAAGATCTATCTCCTGAAAACTATAGAAAGTTTATGAAAGAAACCGAAGAAGACACAAAAGAAATGGAAAAACATTTCATGCTCACAGATTGGAAGGACACATGTTATTAAAACGTCTATACTACCCAAAGCAATCCACACATTCAGTGCAATCCCTATCAAAATAACACCAGAATTTTTCACAGAGCTAGAACAAACAATCCTGAAATTTGTATGGAACCACAAAAGACCCCAGATAGCCAAAGTAATGTTGAAAAAGAAAACCAAAGCTGGGGACATTACAATTCCAGACTTCAACCTGTATTACAAAGCTGTAATCATCAAGACAGTATGGTACTAGCACAAAAACAGACACATAGATCAGTGGAACAGAATGGAGAACCCAGAAATGGACCCATAAATGTATGGCCACTAATCTTTGACAAAACAGGAAAGAGTATCCAATGGAAAAAAGACAGTCTCTTCAGCAAATGGTGCTGGGAAAACTGGATAGTGACTTGCAGAAGAATGAACCTGGACCACCTTATTACATCATATACAAAAATAAACTCAAAATGGGTGAAAGACCTAAATGTAAGACAGGAAGCCACCAAAATCCCAGCGGAGAAAACAGGCAACAACCTCTTTGACCTCGCTTGCAGCAACTTCTTACTAGACATGTCTCTGGAGGCAAGGGAAATAAAAACAAAAATGAACTATTGGGACCTCATCAAGATAAAAAGCTACTACACAGAAAAGGAAACAATCAACAAAACTAAAAGGAAACTGACAGAGAGAAGATATTTGCAAAGGACATATCAGATAAAGGGTTAGTATCCAAAATCTACAAAGAACTTACCAAACTTGACAGCCAAAACACAATCCAGTGAAGAAATGGGCAGAAGACATGAATAAATGCTTTTCCAAAGAAGATATCCAGATGGCTGACAGATGTATGAAAAGATGCTCGACATCACTCATCATCAGGGAAATACAAATCAAAACCAACTGAGATACCACCTCACACCTCTCAGAATGACTAAGATTAACAACTCAGGAAACAACATACGTTGGTGAGAATGTGGAGAAAGGGGAACACTTTTGCATTTGGTGGGAATGCAAACTGGTGTAGCCACTCTGGAAAATAGTATGGAGCTTCCTCAAAAAATTAAAAATAGAACCACCCTATGATCCAGGAATTGCACTACTAAGAATTTATCCAAAGAATGCAAAAAAGTGATTCAAATGGGCACATGCACCCCAATGTTTATAGCAGTGCCATCAACAATAGTCAAAGTATGGAAAGAGCCCAAATGTCCATCAACTGATGAATGGATAAAGAAGATGTGGCGCGCGCGTGCGCACACACACACACACACACACACACAATGGAATACTACTCAACGATAAAAAAGAATGAAATCTTGCCATTTGCAACAATGTGGATGACACTAGAGTATATTATGCTAAGCAAAATAAGTCAGTCAGAGAAAGACATATCAAATGATTTAACTCATATGTGAAATTAAAGAAGCAAAACAGATGAACATAGAGGAAGGAAAAAAAAATAAAAACAGAGAGGGAGGCAAACCATAAGAGACTCTTAAATACAGAGAACAAACTAAGGGTCGTTAGAGGGGAAGTTGGTGGGGGATGGGCTAAATGGGTGATGGGCATTTAGGAGGGTGTTTGCTGGGATAAGCACTGGGTATCATATATATGAGATGAATCACTAAATTCTACTCCTGAAACCAATACCATACTATATGTTAACTAACTTGAATTTAGATAAAAATAAAATAAAGTAAGAAACAAAAAGAAAAAGAAAGGGCATTATGGGCAGATGGGGCAGGGAAGTGCAAGTTGCATCTTTCCACGACCATCCCACTACCTCCCAAGTTGGTGCTTTAGAGAATTATTTATTAAGAGTTAGTGGATGGGGTTATCTGTTATAACAACACTATAGATTCTCTGACATTTACAGAATACCCACAAAAGCACCAGCCGCTTCAGTGACATTTTTCTAGACCAAAGTCTCCCGAGAAATTTCTTCCATTTCACAAGTCATAGATATAAATGCATGCAGAAACTCACTAGACTCTGCCAAGACAATAAATATTTGGTCACATTTCCCCCCTACAGCAGGTAAACTCATAGACTACACCTATGATCCGACCAAATAGCATTACTGGTCAGCCCTGTAATTACTAATTCCACAGCAAACACTATATCCTGGGCAAACCACAGGCATTCCGTTCTGTCTCACAGATGGGAAAAACACATCGCCCCAGACTCCAGCCTACAGAGATTGGGATAATCATGGGATAAATTAAGGATTATTTGCATCTGGTGTAGGGCTAATATAAAGTTGTTTTAGATGTACTATGCCATAAAGAGATCAGAATAGAGTACAATGGCTTCTAAATCTTTCTTTAAAGAGCATAATTTTTTATCATGTGAAATTTTATGTAGCACCCTAGTGTTTGAGTCTGGTAAAGCTAGAGCTATTCTAGCTGATGCTGGTAAGGAAGAACCCTCAGGAGAGGTGAAGTATTGATTTGAACATAGATCTAGAACTCAGAAAACTAGGGTTTCAACCTAAACTCTGCCCATGACTCATTTTTCATGTAGGTCTCAGCTTCCCCATCTGTAAAACGGGGATAAGAATCTTTTCTGGGAAACTGCTGTGACTCACAAGGGACACAGTATGAGTGCAAATGCTCTATAAGCACCGGGCAGGAACACAAGGTATTACTGAATTTGCTTTGATAATATTCTCTCCTTTCCTCAGGCCACCTCTCCTTGTGGCCATATTTCACTGTAGTCAAGGCTCACATATCTGTCAGCTTCAATTTTAACTCTGGACCTGTTCTGGACTGTAGGCCAGCTGTCTCCACACGGTGGTTGGTTCACGGGTGGGGAAGGCACTCACTCTGGGTAAGTGTCCGCTATGAGCAGCTAGTGTCCTGTCCCATTTTAGCTCATCCCCTTCCTGTTTTCTCTCAGAATAGCTCATGTTTTGGGAATATTTATCAGTATCATTAGTAAATGGGCAGTATTTCCATTTTACAGGTGGAGAAACAGTTCACAGAGGTTACGTGTGGAATAGGGGTACAAACTTAAATCTTCTGCATACAAACTGCTCCTATTTATATGTGAGAAAAAGAGAATTAACAAGTTACATCAGGGTGCCTGGGTGGCTCAGTGAGTTAAGTGTCTGACTCTTGGTCATGGCTCAGGTCATGATCTCACAATTCGTGGGTTTGAGTCCTACAAAGGGCTCTGCACTGGCAGTGTGGAGACTGCTTGGGATTCTCTCTCTCTCTTTCCTTCTCTCTCTGTCCCTTCCCCACTTATGCTGTCCCTGTCTCTCTCAAAATAAATAAATAAACTTAGAAAAAAATTTAAAAAGTTACATCAAAGGATCTGGCCATTATCTAATGGGGTATGCCAGTACACTCTGCTAATACATATTTTAAACTCAAATGGCTTCAAATCTCTTGTCATTTGATACTGTTCCAATTGAGCATTTATAAAGCATAATATGGAGATTCATCCCTAATAATACAGCTTGGTATATTTATAAAGCTGTTCCTGTGCAGGCCTCCAGGGTCTCATCTCAGGCTTTCAGATCACTAAAGCTATTTATTATCAATGCTCAGCTTTTGTAAAATGGACTTAGTATATTGCAGCTTTGATGAACCCTGCTCTGAATGGGAGAAGAAGGTAGGGGAATTGCCAGGGCAGTCACACACAACAATAAATCACTGCTCCTGACTTCCAAGTCAGGGCGATGGGGCAGAGAGGACAAGACTGTACTGCGGGATGAAGAAATCACTGGAGAGAGGGTTTGGGAATTTCTCTGATTCTTAGGTTAAGATGTATCTTTAGAGAATAGTTTTGGTAGGCTAAAACTCAATTATTAAAAAAAAAAAGGAGATAAAGATGCAGAGAAGAGGACTAAAGGAGGAAATAAGTGAAAGTACTTCCGAGTAATTTTAGTTGATGATTTATGACATCTTAGTGTGAGCCCCAGA